ATTTACCTTTTATATCCTGATTATCTATAAAGTTATACATACAAAAATTAAAAATAATATAAGAAATATATATGTATGTACCTGAATTTTTCATGCTTTTCTTCTATTAAACACTTTATTACTTTCAATTTTTTCTTTTGAAGACATATATCATTTGTGAAGATATCCGGCATATCCAATAATTATATCTCTTATAACATCTTCACTCTACAATTCCCTTTGTTATATTATATATTTATTTTAAAAAATATTATTTAATATACATATATATATATAGGATTTGTCTATACATACATAACTCTTCACTTCTTTTAAGATAATTTTCTTGGTAAAATTTTATATAATTATTTAATATATCGTGATTATAACGATCACCTGGTGGTTTCTCTAAATTAAACTTGAAGGCAGCTTCATCAATGTTTTCAGAATAAAAATGACCAGTTATCTTGTGACAAATCAAATTCCATAAAGTAGGATGTGATACAGAATATCGGAGTGAATTTTTAGTATATTTTTTTTTATTAATAATTTCTGAAAAGGGCTTGTGAGAGTTTTCAATTCTAATGTCTTCAAAAATGTGTAATATATTTTTTTGATCATTAGTAGTTTCAATAACTTTATCTTTTATTTCTAAGATTTGCATGCTTAAATTAGAAATAATTTCTTGAAAGGTTGTATTCAGATTATTATGCATGTCTTGAAACTTTGTAGCTTGAATAGAAACAGTTTCTTGGTGTTGCTCAAATACTTCATTAATATGATTTAATTTGGAATTAGTTTCATTTAAATTTTCAAATATGATATCCAATGTTCTAACAATTCCTTTCATGTTTGATTGTGTTGGAGTTCTTGAACTGGAGGTATCTTGATTAGTATTATTCATTTGTAAAGTTGTAAAAGAAAATATAATGCAGATACATAAAAGAAGAAAGAGTATAAGCATGTTAAAAAAATAGAATGAGGTTGTATTTATATTTGAATGGTTTATATTGCATCATCAAAACAAATCCAATTTGTGGACCTCAAATATAAGTGCTACTAAGAAAAAAGAATGGCTTCGGGTTTTCAATTTTTATTTATTTTTCAACAAATTTAGCTTTAAATTTTATGAGCTGAATTTGAATAAAATAAATAAAACCATAATGTCCGAAATTATTTTTTCAATGATACTCATATTTCAAAAATCGATTAAACCACTTTTTTTATATTAGTGTTATTAAAAGAAAGCCCATAATTAAGATTTCAATTGTATCTTAATTGTATTTTTCTTGACAGCACTTATATATATATTTATTAGATGTATATATTAAAGTTATTGATTAATTAATATATTTAACAAAAGCCAAATTTAGCCTTTGTTTATAGATAACAATAATATTATATAGTATTATCAAGAAAACCTTATCATCAGACTTTTAATATATTTTGTATCTAATACAATATATAAATGAAATCTCAATGACAGGTTTTTTCTTAACAGCATGATAATATGACAAATTATGAAATTATCTACAACTAGATTAGATTTCAAATAATATTAACTTGAATAAATAGGATAATATTCTGTTTGAACTACGAAATCTTCAATATGTAAATAGATTGTCTATAGACAATCTATAGATTTTATTTGAAAAACCTATAATTAAAGTTTCATTTTATTAACATATAATTGAAATAAAACTATCTACGTAAATCTTTTAGTATAATTTAAATTAATTGCTTAAATTAGCTATATTATCATTTGTAACCAAATTATAAACTATCAATGAATTTTGAGTATGATGGATAGCACAAAGTACTATCTATTATATTAGCGAGTTATGTAGAATTCAGATTTAATAATTAGTCATTATTAATTCTATAGTATAAGCTATTAAGCAAATATGAATAATATATGATTTAAAAAGCTTATAAACCATAATTATTTATTAATTTTTACAGTATAAGCTATTAAGCAAAAATTTATTTATTTCTATATATATATAAAATATACTAGTATTAATAGTATATATACTAAATGCAAAGATAACAAATAAATTTATGAAGTAATTTGATGAATAAGTTCAATCCATTCATCTTTTTGAATATTTGCAAGCCAAGTTATAGTTGTATAATCGACCAAATCAAGTATTACCCAGTTGTCATCTAAAGCTTTAAGAAGTTCTACTAATTGTAGTCCAGCAGTAGTGAATGTCTTAAGTTTTCGTGCTGAAACCTTTTCACAAAACCCTGGAATATTAATTGAAATCTCATCTAATACAACCAATTTTTTTTTATTTTGTTTAATAGGTTGATGAACTAGGAAAGTTTCAGAATTAGTACTTAGAATGTTCAACATTTGTTGTAAACTAATTCTTCCAGTAAGAAGTACATTAACTTGAGTAGTTGATTTCATTTCTTTGGAACAAGTTGTAAATTTGGCTACCAAATTTTTTATGTAACTGTAAGCAAGATCAAATTCATACAAGAAATGTAATAACATTCTTCTAAAGAGTTCAGAATTGTATGAACTTATTTCAACTTTATGAAGTGATTTGTAACATGTACTCATAAGAGAAGAAAAGATTAATATTTGTTGGTTATTTGAGTCAGATAAATCAATTGAAATATTTGAAGGCAATTTAGGAACTTTACGTAACAAAATAATTTGATTACATAAGTTACTATTATCAAATTCAGATAAAATTGATGCAGTAGGCTTTTGTTTTTCTTGGTATAAGTCCATACTAAGAGCTCCATTAATTAACAAAGGATCAAACTGCTTTGTATTTGAATTTGAATTTGAATTTTGATGATATGTTAAACATTTTATAATAATCAGATTTTCGAATCTCTAAATTATTATCAAAAAATGATGCAATTGCTGAAAGCACTTGTTCGAATGAAAGAAATTTCTTGTATAATTTTACAGCTTTTAATTTATTGCCTATTAAAGTATCGCATGTTTTAGAACCTACAAAGTTAAAAATTATAATTAGCAATTATTTTTTTTTAGTAAAATATTTTATTCTTATTTGTTTATACATATGTTTTTTACGATTTTGTAATTCTTTACTCTTTCTTTTTTTATTTATTTCTTCTTCAACTTCAAATTCCTCATCATCATCTTCTACCTCATTACTTTCCTCTTCCATTTTGTCACTTACTTCTTTACCTGAATTTTCAACCATTTCTTCCTCTTCTATTTGTTCTTCCATCTTATTTGTATCTTGTTCTACTTCAACAGATTCATTGTTTTTTCTATCACATTTTCTTTTATTATATTTTTTTCATTTTCTACTTCAATTCCTTCACTTTCAATCATATTTTCGATTATGTTTTTTTCATCTTCTACTTCATTGTTTTTTCTGTTATCCTTTCTTTCTTTATTATATACTTTTTTTCCTTCTTTCAATTTGATATCTTCTTCGAGTTCATCAGCATTTCCTCAAAATTAAATAGAAAGTATAAATTAAAATCAATTAACATTATCTTTTAATAAGTAAAATAAAATACTAAAAATTATATACCTGATTCAAATAAATAATATCTTACAATCGCTCGATCATTATTTTCATTATTTAGGTTTTTATTTATGGTTAACAATGTATTAAGATTACTCGATAACCTATTTTCAAAACTGCTTTTGGTATATGGCTTTACTAGTTCAAAATAAAATTGAATTTTTTCACTGTTTGAATAAGTAATTTCAATCTCTTCTTTAAAAAATTTAATATTTTGAATATATTTATCAGAATTATATTGAGACATCAAGTACAATAATCACATCATTTCTTACTCTTTTGCGCAATCTATAAAAAATAAATATTAGCAAAAGACGAACTTGGATTTTGCTAAATTTAGTATATTAATTAAACATACCAATGGTTAATAACAGTTTACAAAGAGAAACGTGAATAAAAAAGAAAATATATCGCATTTATAGTAAAAAAAAAAAAAAATACACAACATATTGATAAAAAAAAAAGGTATGTAATATAATAATATCATTATATTAATTTATGTTCTTTATAATAAATATTAAATTAAGAGATGATTATATGATAATAGAATAAGTTAGTTTTTGTAACACTAAATAAACTCTTGAAATAATGAGATCATTGTTCTAGTCCTTTACTTCATTATTTCAAAAGTTTCGCAGTATCAAAATATTATAGTAATAATTTTGTTTCATACTAATTCTTTATATAGCAATTAGGGTAGCTGCACAGCATGTGATGCCACACAGGACCAGCATGATCATGTTTGATATGTAAATTTGAACTATTCGAAAGTTATTGATAATAGATTTTAATACTTACTCAATAAACAAATTAAACTTGGAAATATAACATAATTATAGTATAGTAAATGCTATATGTCCGAATATTATCTTCTAGGTAGTTTGATGAAAAATTTTGATGTTAAAATCATACTAATATATATCATTTGAGAAATTTAGATACACTATGATAACATTTACCAAATAGTCTAGTTATTTGTTGAACACAATTATTTTGAACTAATAGGTAATATGATTAATTTATCTCCTTATCAACTTATCAATGTAATTTTTTTGTGTACTTATTTTATATTTAACCTTAAACTTCAAATACAGGGAGTAAAGTAATTGTTTTGTTCTAAAATAAGTATATGAAAGTTATGTTATATAGATGCAAAAGATATATTAGCTATATCCTAAGTAGTTGTGCATAAACGAAATTTTGCAGTAAAGTATAATATACTGCTTAAGCAGCAAATTATTCTTTCTTGTAAAATTTTGTTTATGCACAACTACTCCAGATATAACTATTACATGCTAAACTGCTAACCATTTGTTATTCAGTTATAAAGTTTAATATTCAGCTTCTGGACACTTCGAAACCAGAATTTGAAATAATAAATTTCACATAATAAATAATTTTGTATAAATAATTCTTATTGTTGGCTGTTTCATATCCTAGAATCAATTCTTATCTTATATTTTGCTATTACCAATAACCATTACTAGATTACTTCACTTCACTAGTTTTATCTACTCTTGTTGGTTTGTTCTATATGTTTAGTGTATTGTTACAGTCCTATCACTTGCGATCCTGAGAACTATGAACAAGGAGAAACGTACCTGATCTAAACTGTGAAGGATTATATTTGTAATATTGGTAACTAAGTGACCCATCATTGTAAAATTTTTTTGTTTTTGTGCTGCACATCAGGTGTAGGATTAAGTTTGGATCAGCTAGGCTTCCTTCTGTTTGACTTATGGTGCTCAATGATGAAGCTCAAGAATAAGTTCTTTTTTAAGTGACTTTTACCAAAGTTATTTTGTTGTGTATGGTTACTAGACAATCGTTACATATTAATTGAGTATAGGATTACCCAATTACATGCATTAGACCATCTTTATTTCATGAAATCCTTTCATCTTAAACTATTATAGTTATCATTTATTATTATAGATTACAAATGATGATGACATTAATTATAACAATCTAAGTAACTCATTATAACCTCAGTGCTTATCTAATTGTTATCTCAATTAATAAATATAATTATCATAATAATGTCTAAATAAGCAAAACATGTTAACTATAACACTTTCTAAAATAGGAAAAAATATAGGCAACCAAAAAGTTGAACAGAACTATCTCTTATATATTTCATATGATCATACTGATATATCTGTTATAACAGTAGTCTGCTATATTAAGAGTTATGTTTCTAAGAATAGACCATCTGAATGAAACTTAAAATCCTATATCTAAAAAATAAAATTGTTCTAAATAGTTTACAGACTTGATACACTTCAAGTTCATCTATAATAAACTATTCACTTTCATTAATTTTCTTGATTAGAATTTGATAATCCATCTGTTTGCAATGTATAGTGAAGTATTTCCATTG